TTTATATAAGTTGGATAAGTATAAATATAAAATAAAAAATATGAGGTTTTTATAAAGAATAGTGATAATATATATATATGAAAGATATAGTTTTATATTTCTTATATTTAGTTAAACTTTGGATTAAAGTTAAAGTGGCACAATATATAATATGTTGTAGAGCCTAATTATTTGTACACATCATAATTCGAATTTATTATTTTGGGTAAAGTTTTCTTAAAATTTTTAATCATATTTATAACCTTTAATTTAAGAATCTTAAAGAAATTATAGTTAAATTTAATGTCGCTAACCATGAAATTAAACTTCAAAAAAAATGATTGAAAATTAGAAATAACTAATAAACTAATAACGTTTCATTTCTCATTTTAAACATAATTCATCTGTTATGTTACCTCATTATTACAATTTTTTGTTTAGCAAGGCTAATCGATATTCGTCTATTGAAGGTCTAACTTGGTTTCATAAAATACATAGCAAGATTATAATTTAGTTTTAGGCAAATTTAATTCGTTTAATATATTGTTGATTATTATCAGAAATTTAACAAATAATTATGAAGTCGTAACTTATCAAAAATTTATGATGATGTCATAAATGGACCGACATTCCCGAGAAGGTTCCTCACAGGCCCATTTTCTAAGTAGGAATAAGAGAATTGGAGTTTGAGTGGGTGCGGTGACAACTAAAGAGGTCGTAAACTGATAAGTGGAAAAGAGTGTGAAGTTTAAAAAATGATGGAGCCCTCCAAAGCTAGGTCGGCCTAATTGTCAGGAGGATGTGAATTGTCTGTTATTAGTTTGAAAATCAAGAATAAGAGTTTCTTCCATATAAAAGAGGAATTACTCAGAATGAACTCTCATATCTGGATTATAGGAATGGAAGTGAGAAATTGAAGACTAGAGAAAAGCTTTAGGCTTTAGATAGCATTCGATACACAGAAATAATAAACAGTTGATGATTGAAATTATTCCAACTATCTAAACCTGAAGAAGAGCGGTTCTAGAGACATGGAACTCTTTGATTTCTGATTGGGAGCCTTGATCAGACGGAAATAGAAGAAGATTATTGGATTTGTTGGAGAAACTAAAAATAAGGAGAGATAAGGAGGTAGGTATTGCGAATATTATGATAGAAGTTGAGGAGGGTTAGTACATCACTAATTATAAAGAGATTATACATTAATATATTGAGAGAATGAGAAAAGTTTCTGGTATTCTAACTGAAGTGAAATATAACTCAAGGCTATGGAGGAATAAAATGAGATTAGAGGTAGGAGATATTGAAGAGGATGATGGAAGAGTTGAAAGAATTAGAATTTAGAACTTAATGAATCTTAAGGATGAGTACATCTAATGGTACAATAAGGCTATATCTTTCGATTTTACTCATTTAACACCAATAAGACTCAACATGGAGAGATAATCTAACGAATCGGTACTCTATTACTATCTATTTGATATTGAGACTTGGAAGAGGAATGAATTCTGTATGGCTTAAAGGTTGGTCCCCATAAATAAAGTTGCACCTAAATTGCGAGAGTTGAAGATGTGAGACCAATAATGGTCCAGAGTTACCTGATTAAATTTATGGAGTGAAACTTATATGCAATATTATAAATCAATAACATTCCGTTTGAACCATGCTAAATTGGATTCTTAGAGAAATTAGGAACACAAGTTCATATTGAAAAATTCCTATCAAAGATGAAGGAAAGAGGAGAGAAGAAAGTATTTATCTACTTTAATCCATCCGATGCGTACAATATGATGGATCGTGTAATCCTATATAAGTTGCTCATAAAAGTGGGTCTAAGGCCAAACTGACTTCCACTATAATTTTTATGACAACTTGTACATTTATGATCCTATAACAAAAGAAAAGGTTAGATTTGAGAAGAGCTTGCAGCAAGGGTCTACTCTAAGCCTATTTATTTATTAGATTCTTTGACATTATCCTAACAGGCTTTGGAATGAAGACAAGAGAAGAGATAGAGAAACTAACGAAAGAAGGAAATGGAAAGAGATGAAAAGCGCTTGAGGAGACTGAGATACTTGCAGACGCTGATGATGTAGTTTTCTGTATTCAATAAGTGATGGCGAAATTCTATGCCTCTACCTACATATAGATATGCAAAAGGTGGCGCCCTAAAGATGACAGTTTACTTGGCGAACTGTCCTAAAGAAAGTTGGAAGGATTGACCATAAGAAAATCTTGGTACTTGGTGACAATTAAAGGAAATCTGAGACACCATTTGGAAATTACAAAAAAGAACCATTCTGTTAAAGGACTTACCAAGCTTTTGTTGCTTTGTTTGCTATCACATCTCAGATATACTTACATGGTTATTATGAAATAGAAAAAATCTACTATCATTCAATGGCAGATTATCAAACGGAATTCTTTTAGAAGAATCCTCGGATTGAATAAGAGTTTGCCCAAGGACATCTAAGACAATATCTTTGGAAGATTGGAATGTGACAGCGGGGAAAACAGATATATTGAGAATTAACTACGGATCAACTTATATGGAGCAATCCATCGTCATTCTCTCTCCCAAATATTTTTATATGGCTGAAGAGCATGTAATTTACAATTTTTATCTGTGGAAGAATCATTATATAGAGAGGAAGGCTCTAGTTCTGAGGAGAAAAATTTCTTTGAAGAAAAACTTGAAGCAATACCAGAGAAATCTTAGTAGTTTTAAGATGGAGATAGGAATTTGAGTAGATTCACTCTATGTGGAAAAAATCGGTGAGAAACTTCAAGAATAAGAACTAAGAAGAATTTAGACTTAGATCATTAGAGCGATCCCCTGGTTATGACTTCTTTGAACTTTACAAACATGGATGGAGAAATTGCTTAACCCATAACAAGAACATGACTTTTAATCATTTTATGGATCACCTTTTTGGAGAAGCTGGAGATTGCCATGGGAAGATGGAGAAGGTCCTAAATTATATTTAGGGTGTAGAGAAGACATTCTATAGCTCTATCCAAAAGGCCATAAGTGAATTCATTGAGAGGTAGCTTCTAGGGTGCGAAGACTAATCGCTGAGGAGTGTAGCCCTTATATTAGGAAAAACAAGTAAGATAAACAGTTAGAACAACCTGTAAATTCACTAGTACAGTCTTATTCATATCAAATTATTATTATTATAAAATCAAGGTTCAAAATATTCTGTTAAATCAAGCATTATTCAAGAACTAAATTAGGATTATACTAGTAATCACCACCGTGATATAGATTATCATCCTGCTCTCTTAAAAAATTCCTCAATTATGTAAATTATGTAAGCTTTAACAGAGAGAGAGTATTGACTAGAACTAACGTACTTAAATCAGTTAAGATTTTACATAATAGCTGTATTAATTACCCATCAACCTAACTTGAAACTAAAAATCATAGATAGAGCAATTCATATGAGCAATTAAGTTCAAAATTAATGCATATTTTTCTGCCTCAACGATCCTATGGATTCCAAAAATATTGAGGTTCAATCCAATACCATCCAAAAGTTGTATTAGAACTAATGGACGCAAAATATCCTCATGTTAGATTTAAAAGATATTTGGATAGATCTAATTATTTCTAAGACTGGAATTTTAATTTATCGAAAGGATAATTCGATGATTTAACTAGTATAAGCATTCTGTTATAGCTTTTTAATGAAATACCATTTTTAAGTATTGAATTTATTCAAGGTTATTTCATAAGACCATTGTTTTAACTAAAAAATTGTTAGATATAGTTTAATTTTCTTAATTGAGGCTGCAATATATTTTCAAGTTTCTTTATGCTAATGTTAGATTGTTATTAGAATTTCATAAATTTTCTGACTAAGAAATTCAAGTAATTCTCTAATAAACAATAAAATTAAGAATTCAATCTATTTTACAATTTTGGATCAGAATGAAGTTGCATTCAAAAGGAATTGTAAATAAAATAATTAATCAGTCTGTATAGATCAAAAATAAATATTGATGAATGTATCTATGTATGCTTAAAAGAATAACTAAATAGGTCGGTTTGGAGTGACTTTATTAGTAAATTCGATTTTTTTACATTCAATATTGTTGTAAATTTAAGATTTAGCTCAACAAAAACTTAATACCTAGAGGAGATTTCTTGAGATGCAAAACTGACACAATAGTTTGAGAAGAAAAAGCTTATTTATAATTAAAGAGAGAAATAATTATGTCTTAATAATTATATAATGACCAGAGGATTATACTACTCTAGAAAAAACATGGTAACTTTTAAGAGGGCAAAATCAATTCAAAATAAGGGTCTTTGGAGAATTTGTCAGCAGAATTACTCATTCTGAAATAGATGAAAGAGGGAGATATGAATTCCACAGCTTTAATTGCATAAATCATTAAAGGAGAAAAGTTGGAAAAATCTAATACAATAACATGTTGCCTGTTGAAAGAAGGAGAAGTATTATGGAAGAAGAGAACATCTCATCAAAAAATATCGGATAAGGTATGAATTAAATCAATATATGTGTAAAATAATTTATTTTGAAGGCCCCTTGAGATTACCATGATAGATGAAGAAAAGGTTTTTTAATTTTAATTTGTTTTTAAAAAATATTTTGAATAATTAGAATCAACAAAAGATGGATATTTAAATTTTGATGGCAATTAGAGTTATGAGTGTTAACTAGTCCAAAAGAGTTGGTTATAGTTGAATTATAGATGAGGTGAAAAAGAAAGATAAAATTTCGTTAACTCATAATTATTTATGAAAGTTGGAGTCATAAGTGGCACAACTTTTTTGGGAGATGTTTTTCCATAGAATTTACTTATTTCAATATGAGGCCGATAATAATCTTCCCACCTGATGCGAGCGCGAGACTCTGTGACAAGTAGATAGAAATTTACTCTTAGCTAAATATTTAATTGAGCTAAAGTTCTAGTCTGTAGGCGATTAAGCCCAGACACCATAAAAATATATCATAACTAATTCACCATCTGAATATCCTCTCTTGAAAAGAAAGATAAATTGGTTGAAAAGAAATATTAATCGAATCCTGTATAAATAGTTGTCCCACTTGAACATGAATTAATAATGTTGGTGAAAAAATAAAAAAATAACATCACAGTCAAAATTTAGACAACAATAAGAAGTTTTAAATTCGATCAGAATCTTATTCAATCATGAGGTAGTAAATGAATTGGAAAAGAGCGAAGTGATAGAATTACTAAACTATTACAAAAAGAAGGAATAATCTGATGTCATGATTGTTCCATAGAATATTTAAGATAAATTAAAGAATAGGAGTAAAAGATATAGATTTCTGGCTCAAAAAGTTTTAGAAAGAGATTTAATAATATGAAGAAATTAATAATGGGTTACTTAATTATTGTTGAGATTTAGGATATTCAAATCGGCAGCAGAAATTATTTTGAAAGCTTCAATGGGATTATTTTTTTGTTTATATTGCAATTAATCTGACCAGAGTGTAATATTAGAAGGACTTAAGAGAAATAGGACATGATATTTAATTAACTTAAGTAAGGCATAGTATAATATTGTAGGTATGTATTGGCAGATGAAGAACAAGAAACAATACTTTTCATAAATTGAAGGATTTACTATATTAGGGAGATTTTACTATTTGTAAGAATAAATATATGAGTTCATCATAGTAATAATTTATAAATATTATGACTTTAGGACTATATAAGATAAAATAATTTTATGTATTTTAAAAGATTCAACTTAAATTAAGGGTTTAGAGATGAGGGTTCAATAGATGATGGAACATTTACAATTAGATTGATGACATCATTTTGTCCATTATACATTTCACCTTAACAATTAATAGATGGATTTAATCATTCATGTTGAATGATATGAGAACCTTAGTCTTTTCACAGATTTTTTCTACTGGTTAATAATATGATAGTTAAAGAACTGAATATATATACTTTAAGGCTATTCTGATAATAATCTTCAAAATCTGAGTTACTTCTATTGAATTTTAACCTCAAACATGACTCTGAAGTTTATCCCTTATTCTTAGATATATTTTCAATAGGTTCGAATGAAATAGGTTTTAGAAAATTATTCTCTTTTGCTTCCAATTTTTGAATTAATTATAATATCTTCCACTATTCAATGTATTCTACTTGTATTTATTCAGCTAATCTTGCAAAAAAGCTATAAGTATATTGGCTGAATACATCCAACAGGATTTATACTTTATAATAAAAAGGATATAGGATTAGAAAAGAATGTTTTTTAGTTTTTTTTTATATTAAGAATGTATGATAAGAAAAATCAAAAATAAACACAAATTTGAGCATTTGAAAGTCTAAATATCAATGAAAATAACCAACTATCTCAGACAAACTCTAAATTTTCATTTTATTCAAAAAAATAAGAATTTTATTGCTTCAATCTTTAAGGAAATCAAACTTTTAAATGCATTGCCTAAATAGGGTTAGTAAAAAAGAATAAATTCCTATTAGATTTAATCATTATTACTCCCTTGATCGTATCATTTAAACTAAAATTTTTAATCTTAAACCAAATTATTGATGTT